GGCCAGAGCACCTCTTGATTTCTGGCCCTCCTCAAGATGGTTTGGGTCTGCAGCTCCTTCACTTTACGTCAGTTGTAAATTGAATGTGAGCCAACACTGTGATGCTGCAGCAAAGAAGGCGAATGTGATCGTAGCCTGCATTCATAGAAGCGTAGTTTCCAAGTAGAGGGACGTAATAGTCCTAGTATATTCTGCGCTGATCAGGCCCCCATCTGGAGTCCTGTGTTCAATTTTGGATGTCTCGTTTTAGGAAAGAGAGAGACAAGTTGGAGCAGATTCATAGAAGGAGAACAAGGATAAGAAGAACTGGAAGAAAGAAGTTGGCAGCATGAGCTTTTGTAAAGTCTACTTCCTCAGATGCAGATACTTTAGTCTAAGAAAGCTCATGCTGCTAACTTCTTTCGTTAGTCGTAAAAGGGTGACAAGATCTCTTTACGTCCTACATTTTTGGAAGGATAAGAAGAGGGATGGAGAACAAAATATATAGAAAGAACGGACGAAGGAACGGGGCATGACCTTGAGTGCCATTCAGCAATGGATGGAACTCATTGCCAAAAAAACCAGAGACTAGTTGGAACAGATTTGGAGAAGCAGGAGCAGATTCATAAACCGAATGTGAGCCAGCAGTGCGTGATGCTGCAGCAACGAAGGTGAATGCGGTCACAGCCTGCGTTCATAGAATCATAGTTTCCAAGAAGAGGGAAGTTCTTCTTCTTCTCCGAATCTGCTCCAGCTTCTCTCTATCTTTCCTAAAATGAGACAACTGGTTTTCCCCTGCACACCTTTGCAAATGCCACAGTGATGGTCTCCTCAGTCTCCTGGGAATTAAATTGCATTTCATCTAAAAATCATTTAGACAGGAAGAAGAGAGTTTTAAGGAAAAATAGCATTTCCGATTAAAATGCAACCTACCATTCAAATGCCCCAATTTGGCAGAGACAATCCCAGTTAATCCTCTTCCATCCCACTTTCTCAGCTGCTTTTAAAATGTCCCAGTTTCCCTCTCCTGCCTTCCCTTTGTCCTCAGCTCTCTTCAGTTGCTTCAAACTACATTAAAAGATGAATCCTCTGCCCTCCCACTTTCCCAGCTGCTTCTAAAATATCCTGGTTTCCCTCTCCTCCTTCTCCTCCTCCCAATTTCCCCTCATTCTTCAGTTTATTTCAGTTGGTGCAAACTAGAAAAAAAATCAGTCCCAATTTGGCAGCGATAGTCCTGATTAATCCTCCACCCTCCCACTTTCTCAGCTGCTTTTAAAACCTTTCAGTTTCTCTCACTTTCACCCTTCGTCCTCAGCTTATTTGCATTGCATACTCTCCAACGATTCTGATTTTCCAGTGACAGTCTTGATTAATTCTCTGCCTTCCCACTTTCTCAGCTGCTTTTAAAATGTCCCGGTTTCTCCTCTCTTCCTCCTCATTTGTCCTCAATTTCCTTCCATTGCTGCAAAACTGAGTTCAAAGTGCAAATGTGTCCCTTTTTTCTCATGGGGCTGGGCCATGAAGCTCTTTTGGGCGTGCTGTTGCCTAATGTGACTTCTCTCTTACCTTCTCTCCCCTTCTTATATCCCTAAATCCCCTCCTTATATCCCCAAATTTCCTCCCCAGAGACTGCCTCCGCTGCTACGAGGAGCTTAGCGCCATCTGCTCCGAGGAGGACAACTACAGCCAGAGCCGGCGGCTCCTCTTTCAGGTATGCAGGGACCTTCCTCGACTCTGCCCTTTCCTTCCAAAGTTGTGATGGTCCGATTTCTTGTGGCAAGGAGTCCCGCAGGGCCTGGGAAAGGGGGAAACGGATTTGCACCAAAACAGAAATCGCCTTGACTGGGTTGCTGTTGAATCTCCTGTCTGACTGCCTGGATTTGGCAGAGACAATCCCAGTTAATCCTCTTCCATCCCACTTTCTCAGCTGCTTTTAAAATGTCCCGTCATGTATCTCCTCCTTTGTCCTCAGTTTACCTCCATTGCAAACCCTCCAGCTTACTTCCATTGCATACTGTACCACTTTGGCAGGGAGAATCCCAGTTAATCCTCTGCCTTTCCACTTTCTCTGCAGCTTTTAAAATGTCCCGTTTCTCTCCTCCTCCTCCGTCCTCAGCTTATTTCCCTTGCAAAGACTCCAATTATCAGCATTTGGCAGGGAGAGTCCCAGTTAATCCTCTTCCATCACACTTTCTCAGCTGCTTTTCAAGTACCCCAGTTTCTCTTTCCCCCTTCTGCTTTCCTTCTTTGTCCTCAGCTCACTTAGACTGTAATACCCTCCAGCTGTTCGAATTTGACAGGGACTGTCTCAATTAATCCTCTGCCATCCCACTTTCTCAGCTCCTTTTAAAATGTCCTGGTTTCTTTCTCCTCCTCCTCCTCCTCCTCCTCCTCCTCCTCCTCCTCCTCCTCCTTCCATTTTCAGCATTACTTCCATTCAATACCCTCCAAATGTCTGGATTTGGCAGACACTCCCAGTTAGTCCTCTGCCTTCCCACTTTCTCTGCAGCTTTTAAAATGTCCTGGCTTCTCTCTCCTCCTCCTCCTCCTCCTCCTCTTCCTCCTTTCCCCCTTGGTCATCATCTTATTTCCCCTGCATACCCTCCAACTATCTGCATTTGGCAGGAAGAGTTCCAGTTAATCCTCTCCCTTCCCACTTTCTCAGTTGTTTTTAAAAATCCTGGCATCTATCTCCTCCTTTGTCCTCAGCTTACTTCCATTGCATCCTGTACCACTTTGGCAGCGAGAGTCCCATCTAATCCTTTGACCTTCCATCTTCTCTGCAGCTTTTAAAATGTCCTGGTTTCTCCCTTCTCCTTTCCTCCTTCATCCTCATTTCCCTTGCAAACCCTCCAAATGTCTGGATTTGGCAGGGAGAGATTCAGTTAATCCTCTTCCATCCCACTTCCTCAGCTGCTTTTAAAATGTCTCAGTTCTCTCTTCTTCTCCTTCTTTCCCCCTTCATTCTCAGCTTACTTCCATAGCAAACCCTTCAACCACCCCAATTCATCAGGGAGAGTCCCACTTAATCCTCTGCCTTCCCATTTTTTAAATTTGTTTTTAAAATGTCCTGGTTTCTCTTTCCTCCTTCTGTTTTCCTCCACTTGCTTCAATTACTGCAAACTGAAGTGCAAGAGGAGAAGTCAGCATAAGACAGAGGCAGTGTGAAGGCAAATGAATATATTAATAAACAAACAAATAATTAAATTCAGTGCATGTCTACTGCAAAGCCCAGCTGTGTTTAATATAATTGTCTCCCA